CACCAGGACTAATTACACGTTGTGCACGCCCTGACTCAGTGACAGATTTCCTTGTCTCTGTTACTAAACGAAAACCCTACTTTCCCATGAAATTTAAAGCAGGACTGTAAATCGATAATGTGGCATTTGTGGTTTGATGGAAACTGAATGTGTTTTAATTTTAGGAGGCTTCTCAGGAAAACCATGAAGGCTTTGTTTCTGGCACGGACATGTTCAGGTTTCACTCAATCAATATAATGTTGGATGTGATTGCCTGATGGGATTTTAATGAAGCACCTGAAAAGGGAGTGGGTTATGTGTAAATCAAGTGTGGTAAGGGGATTCTCTGTTCCAGTGAACTCGACAGTTGTATCGGATTGAAGGGAGGGTTAGGTCACAGGTCACTTTAGGGAAGGAACCAAGTCGGCCTGATACTTCAGGACAGCAGTTACTGTCAGCTAAATGTTTATATGATGCGTAGTTTTTGAAATTTTGACACGCTGTATTACATTTCTCTGAAGATGGCGTCTGGACAAGAACACTGCCTAAAAGCAGATTTGTGGCTTCCATTTAGCTATGCTGCTGAATTTTGCTGTATTCTGCTGTAATGTTTTCCAGGAAATCCAGTGAGTGCTCTCACTCAAAGACTTCATTCTATCACCCTTGTTGCCTAAAACAATGGACTGGTTATAAGTGAAGTTTTTTTGTCAGACTTTCGCAAGCTTGAGAATTACCTCCTGGGACACTACATAAAGGAATAATATCATTTTAAGATGTACGTCAGTGGTTTAATGTTGCTTTTCCATTAATATGTTGCAGACAGATAAAAAAGATAGGCCAAAATTGAAATATCCTCACTTTGAGTCCAGAGTATGAGTCAAACTCCAAAACCACTGGCTTCTGCAACATGGAATTTCTCTGGTCATCCCCTCCCTGCCTGGTAAATGCTCATCTCGTTCAAACTCCTCACTCCTGGTTTGTTGTCACCAAGCTCAAGATGAGATAATCCTGATAACATCACTGTGACATCATCTGGGTTATTTTCTCAGGCCTGATAAAGCTCCCATAGAAAACATTCAAAGCCATTAAGCTAACGTTTTTATCCTCAAGGGAAATTGGTTTGCAGGAGGCACATACACATAACCACATTCATATACCACTCAGCAGACATCAGCACAAATCAGTGTATTACTATCCTACACGTGGTTATAGATTACATTGCACAAAAACAGTTATAGAAATACTTACACAAGGAAAAATAGTCTGCACCACCAGACAGATAAATACAAAATACAAAGAAAATACAGGAAGTACACTACACATTCCTGATTGCAACCTCTTATATTTGTGCATTATACAAAGTAATGGCCGATGAGATAAAGGAACTCTTTGTTCTGTTAGTTTTAGCTCTTAAGGCCCGTAGATGTTAGCCTGATGGCAGGGCCTGGAGCTCACTGAGCAAAGGATGTTGTGCATGTGTAATTATCATGGACATTATCTTGCAGAGAGCCAGTGATTTTACTAGTAATTGTCACAGTTTTGCTAAGTAGGTTCTTTTGAGCGACATCAATGTTGCCATCCCAAGAGAGAATGCAGCATATCAAAATACTCTCAATAAACAATTTATAAAAGGATCTTAAGATTACACAGTTGGAGTCGAAGGAGACCAGCTTACATAAAAAATACCACATTATATAACTGTTCGCACAAGCTGTGTAGTAGCAAACAGACATCCATGTATCACACTGGCAGATTACCCCATTCAAACTATGAACATTTCAAGTGCGGATGTCAAAGCTGTGGTTTCGTCTTCTGTGACTGCCTCAGCAGCAAACAGGAAACCAAACATCTGCCATAATGCTGACAAAAAATGCACACATAACAGAAACTCATTTTTGAGTTCAGTGAAGCATTTGGAAATGGAGACATTTTGACCAGTTTGTCATCTTGTGGGATATTATGTGGCATAATGCAAATAACGAGCAGACAGAACAGCTCTATCTCCAAAAATGTAACAATTCACTTATTAATCCCAGTAGCCCCCATTCAACTGAGTGGCCCGAACCCCTCCCTATTCAATAAATAAAGCTCTCAAATCAGTTAATACTAAAATGCTGTTATTGCATGTTACATGGCAAATTATTTTCGCATCTGGTTGCAGTTTATTAAAGCTGTTTTCATTTAGACAGTTTGTACTGATGAAAGGAGATAAGAGGCAGTGTGTTTGCTCACTGAATGGTCAGTTTGGGTTCAGTGATTCATCTGTTTGTTGCCCTGCACAAGTCAATTTCCCATATTTTTCACTTGAATGAACATTGCAGCATGCACCCTCACCACCCCACAGTTGTTTCTTTTGGCAGTAGTTAAATCAAATGATGTTTTTCAGAAGACAATGAAATGATTCCAGTTGAGTATCACATCGGATACAGTGTTCTATTTTTCATGCATCAGTTGGGTCTGCCTCATTTGCGAACGGTTTGGATTCAATGGCCACCGAGTCCTGATTTGAGTCATACTGTACCGTACTGTCTTTCTTCACTGGTAATGAGATTACTCACCCAGAAATGTAGTTTGCAGTGGCAAAGGTTTTTAATGCTTTCTTTGTGGAACAAAGGCTTGATTCATGAAGAGACACTTAAGAAGCTGCTGTGGATGTACTATAAATGGCAGAAGTGTCACATGGGTATATAAGAGACATTAAAAAGCAATGAATGACTGTGGCTAATGTAGCTTAGAATAAAGGGGCTTTCATTAGGAGACAGTGCTAATGAAACTGATAGTGTGGTTGGACCATAAGAGAAGGAGAAGTGACCATTAGAGCAGTGGGGTGGCTGTCAGGCTGGGTAGCATTCCCAGCTCTCCTGGCACTGCTATTTGTTCTTCCTTTTTCTGTTGCATGTATTCATGTCTCACATTTGCCTGTTTTGTTGCTACGCCCATGTGTTTGCCACACTCTGACTATTCTATTCTTAGAAAGCAGCCTTGTTAGCCAGCAGATGGCTTGGGACTGGTATGATCATGGTGCCCAGGAGGCAGTTTGGCTGCAGACCTGGAGTCTGTTATTACAGCTAATCTGCTTTCTGTCATTCAAGAGGCTACTGATGCAATTGGGCTCAGTGTTAATAGAGTTCACTGCAGGGTTATGCAAATGATGCTTTGTGACACTGCTAACATTTGCAAACAAATGCCACAGGCTACAGAAAAATGGATTTAAATACCACAGGATTATTGTATCACTTCCAGGACAATGGGTTTCTTGAGGACAGAGATGCTTCCCTAAATCAGTTCTAGCCCAGAATATTTACAGAAGGTTCACATTACAGCATGAACTGAACTGACCTCAAATTTCAGGATGGCTATTTTAGTGGACAGCAAATATTTTAGCATGAAAAATACTGACCCCTAGGATGTTGAAAATATTGTACAAAAAACCTGTTATACGGTTTGTACATATTCATTTGCATATAGTGTATGAATATGCACGTCTTCGATATTGTTTAATCAAGAGGTGGTTATACTGAATTTCATCGTCATAGTTCATCCTCGTCACTATGTGTTTCTTTTGGAGACAGGTGACAAAGTCACAGACAGCCAGAAAGGAAAGCATGCTTTTTTATTAATTTGGAAAGTCTGTACTTACAGTAAAAACTGGAAAATTGATGCACATCTTTCCCAGCCTCCCTCTCTCCATCTCTTCTACCTCCATTTCATGCTTTCCATCTTATCTAAGGCCCAAAAAAAAACAGATCATGAGACATGATATGAGAAAACGTTCTCTTGCTATTCAATAATATTCATATTACCAAAAGGCAAAAGTTGCAAAAAGAAGCTAAAGACAGGCTGTTGCTGTGTCATGTCACACAGATAAATCAAAAAAACCCAAAGACTTCTGGGCTCTTCAACAGAGGCTGATAGATGCTGGTGTCTTGAACTTTGTTATCTGAGGGAAAAAACAGACCCAAATCTGAATCTATAATCTCACAGTTCCACTTTACCTTTATGCTAAACAAGACAAACCGAAGGAGACCTAATGTCTGTCTGTGTTCCCCTTCAGGTGTATGCGTTTGTGGTTCATAGTGTCTTGTAACAGCAGACTTCACACAGACATTACCACAGGTTTCTGTCACAGCACAGGAAACGTTGTCTCCTCCTACTATACATTAACAGCGAGCGGCTGCTGCTGCTGCTGCTGCAAGTACATACTAGCAGACTGGGCATAGCTGAGCTGTTTTAGTATGCTTGTTGAAGCAGTGCCTTGGCACACGGCCTTCATCTTCCAGCAGCTGATCCTCCTTAAAGTGAGGTAAGCCATGATTTGTAGTTGACACTTGTACTCCAAAGAAAGTCTGTCCATTTGGTGTTCCCAATTCTTTAGTGATTATGAAATTTGTCTCAAACATATAGCTGCACCAGTTCACTTTACTTTCTGAAAAGTCAGGATTTGTCTTCTGTACGGTGCCGCTAACATAAGATAGTAGCTGGTCAGAATGTGTGCAACATTAGGAAGCAGATGTATGTTTGTTCCTCTTTAATTTGTTAGTTGTATGGCTGACCTGGTGCTCTGGAGAAAAAATTATAAGATTACTCAAAAAGAAAACAGAAATCTTTAACAGTTAGCGGAGAGTTTGTCTTGTTCTGCCTGCTGGTGAAAGCTGGGTTGTTAGCAGACAGTGTAAATGACAGAATATCACCTTTCTGTGTAGTCTTGTATGAAGGTCAGTGCTCATAAATGTGCACTTTAAGTTTGGTGTGTCCTGTTTCAAACAGGAAATGAATTGCTCAGATCAGTCGTCGCTACAGTTAATCTGATTTCACTTGCGTCTGTGTAGTGAGTCAGGAAGTTGCAGTTTTAAAGTCTCTCCCTCCACTTTTGCTACCATTTGACCATTTTTCAAATGGTAGATTTTAATGTTCAAATATCACACTTTATGCATGCATATTTAAACTTAAGGAAAGTTCATGAAATCTATAACCTAAATTAACATCACTATTTATTTATCTTTCTTTTTTGTATTCCTCAGGGTCAGAGGTCAATCTGAGCCACAGCAACATGTCTGAGACCGCCAAGCCCCACCACCCTGTCCCTCCAGGTAAGGGGGAGAAGACCCATGACAGCGACTTCAGCTACGTGGGCATCGATGCCATTCTGGAGCAGATGAGGAGGAAGGCTATGAAGCAGGGCTTCGAGCTCAACATCATGGTCGTGGGTGAGTCTCACACACACACACACACACACACACACACACCAACAATAACCATTAATAACTGCATTAGTTCATGTTTGATTTGACCCTTTTCAGTTCCCTCACATTTTCATTCATGGTGTTTTGTGTTGTTACTTTATCTGCCACAAATTGGGCTCATGTGCAGCTAATGTAATGCCAGTGCAGGAGGGAGGCACTGTGAAAAATGCACTTAAGAATCAGAATCTCAGTCAGCTTTATTGGCCAGGTGTGCTGGACACACACCATCTATGATGTCACAAACAAACAACCCTACACACACTTGAGTGTATAAAAGGATGCTGTCAGGCTGAGAAAGTGGCATAATGATGGCAATTACACTGACAAGATAGAGTACACACTCCTGAGGAAGCACTTGGCTCCTCAGACAGCTGCAGCACACGGTCAGTTAGGTGCCAGTATCAAGTCTGTGTATAATTGCACACACCCCTCCATGAATGCACCTGTGCACACCCATGCAGGCAGGCACATGTGACATAGAAACATACAGCATGCAGACTTTAAAATAGTGTCACAGTGTGTTCAATCACACACTGGAATATAAAGCCTCAGCTACGTTTCAACTTGATTTTTTTTTAAGCTCTCATGTTTATGTTTTGTTTTTGTTCTTGTCTGCATGTTGGTAGCAACTGTAGAAGGCGGTCAGGTTGATTTCAGTGCCTGCAGGGTAGTGTTTTGTCGTGTCAGCACAGCTCCAGGGAGAGATCCCACAACACGACAAAATGGATTTGTTGCATACAGATCGATGCTGGCCATCAAAAGAAGTTGTGGCATGAAGAGAAAGTCTTAAGAGTTCAGGGTGGCTCGGTGAATGTTTATTTGTGGGAATGAACAAAGTAATGTGGCTCAGTGAAACAACACTGTCTTTAATCTTTCTTGGATGTGCACCTCAGTTTTCGTAATTGTTTCAGGGAAAGTGTGCATTTCTACATAACGCTGACATGCATCCACTTGTAGTGCTCCATCAACTTGAGGATAAGTGAGATGATATATAACATTCTTATGAAATAACACTCCCACTGTGTAGACTGTTGTAGAATGCAATGAAAGTTTACAATAACAATAACAACTATACGTTATTTCTGATGATCATACCAGTTTTATCCTGCACGGTCTCAGTCTTTGTGGCTTATAAGGTTGACTTTTTCTTTTTTTTTAATTCAGTCACTGGAGTTCATGAGATATATCGGTGTTTACTATAAAGCTATGGAGTCAGATACCTCTTCATTTAGTTTCCTGGTTGTTAATGCAAATGATATGAAGAGTTCCAAGAAGAATGGCAGCATAAGACATAAAATAGAGCATGCAAAAATAGAGCACCTTTTGTGATTCTAATAAGGTTTGCATTGGCACTTGGATGGCTAGTGAGCATGTGAAAGGTTAGAGCAGCTGTGGTCTTGGCCCTGTCTCCTCCCTGCCTCAGCCAGCTGACCTTTTGATTTGCACCATGCAGAGAGGACAGTCAGGGTGTCTGTTTAGGTGTGTAAGTGTGCATGAGAGAGAGAATTTGAGAGTGTGGTTAAATGCATGCGACTGAGAAGACTTCATGTAGAGTGTGTGCAACAGAGACATGCATAGAGAGAGAGAGTGGTGTGACATGTTGCCCTGGGTGTCACAAAGGGTCTGGCAGCTTGGAAACACTCCACATGCCCCAGTGGATGCAGGGGCTGTGAACAGAGGGTGGGAGAGAAATATGGAGGAAAGAAGTGAAATATACTGAGGGCATATATGCATGTGACCTTTTCTTACAAGAAATATGAAAACAACACAAAAATCAAAGTCTTCTTTTACTGCTGTGTTTCATTTGAACCTGTATTTACTGTAGTGGACCATATCATTCTGTAGTTCTAGTAAAATTTAATGCACAAAATGTGTTTCTATGGTTGAAACAAACAAGAAATGGTATAAATACTACAAATGTATAAGGCTGCATAGTGAAACCAACATTGTTTATTTCTGAAATTAGCTCTTCTCACTTTGTAGATGTGTAGAAAAAACCTGTTGAATATATTTTGAAGGCGTCTTCTATGTTTTCCACTTAACAGTAAAAATGGAACATTGATCATATACAAAGAGAGGTACTGATAGCTGTCATGTGTGACTGGTGCAAGTAATGTTTGTACTGGCATTTGTTGTTTTGTTTGTTTGCATAACTCAAAATGTAATACATTGATTTTGATGATTTTTATTTTATTTTTTTTGGAGAGGTAGGATATGGCCCACAGAACAAACCATTAGAGTTTGGTGCTGATCCAGATTATCATCTGGATCCAGGAGTTTTTATAAAGGAATCTTCAGCATTGTGAGATATAGGGACGATTTCAGTGTTTTATTTATTATAACTCCATACGCAATGCCTACAGTGCTTAGACAAAAATTGCACAACAACATCCCCACGTTACCACACAGCAAAGTATGATCTGGATCCAAGTAATATTCCAGATGTGGCGATCCAGACTGTTCAGATTTTTAGGGCTCACTGAAAATTTGCTACTGTGAGACAACAAATAATGCCACAGACTTGCAAGATCAAATTCTAGCTGGAATTCAGCAGGGTGTGGACAGATTTGACATATCTTTAAAAGTTACTGAGCTAGATCCTGAGGAAAATGGTGGTAGTCATCATTTTTTTAAAAATATTTGTTCATGGTAGCATGTGTGAATGTGTTTCTGTTTGAGTTTGTGTGTGTGTGTGGTCTATACAATACATCTGTCCTCCTGGCCTCCTCGGCCTGCTTGCCGTTTCCCTGCAGCTGTCCTGCTATGTTCATGGTTCATTACTGATGTCCTGTGCATACTCAGTCACACCATTTGTCATGAGAAGATCCTAAAAGAGACTTTAGTGTTTGAATTGAATGAGGCCCATGTGAGCATTTGTGGTTAAAACCACTAGTGACTGTGCTGCTACTTTCTCTACATGTTGTGTGTGTTTTCCTAATCAGGTCAAAGTGGCTTGGGGAAGTCCACCCTGATGAACACCCTGTTCAAATCCAAGGTGAGCCGTAAATCAGTTCAGCCCGTGCCAGAGGAGAGGATCCCCAAGACCGTCGAGATCAAGTCCATCAGTCACGGTTAGCCAAAGATGACAGTAAATAGTGATTAGTATGTACAGTACGTTTCCAGCTGCTCTGTTGCACTCCTGATATTTTGCTTTCTCTATGTCCCCTTCGCCAAAAAAACAAAAACTAATTAGATGACTTTTCTTTGTCTAGATATTGAGGAGAAAGGAGTGAGGATGAAGCTGACAGTAATTGATACTCCTGGCTTTGGAGATCAGATCAACAATGAAAACTGGTGAGCTGAGGACACTTGATGCCAAGGCTGCAGGAGCTGTTAGACAGTTACTATCTCTTATTCTCTCCACATGGTTATTAAAAACACACTTCAGTGTCTTATTAAAAACACAATTGCAGTGTAGTTTAGTCATAAGAAACACTTGTCTGTCTGTGAGCCTTTTAAATTACAAAATTTCATCTGAAATTCATTCTAATAGTTTTTGAGGT